AATCTGAAAGAGCCAGAGAGGGAGGTCTGCTCAGGCAGAATGTCCTCTGGCCAATGCTGCATCTTCTATTCTGTGGAACCAGTGTTGTCTTGAACTTAACGTGGAAAATCACATTTTAAGCATTATTTGGGAAAAAAAAACATGGGCTGATAGGTTTATCATTGTAACAAATGGGCCTTTTGGATGGGGGTTACATGAGGGCTGCGGGTACATGGGGAATCTCTGTACTGTCCTTTCAATTTTGCGTGAACCTAAAACTTGTGTAAAGAAAATAAAATCAATTTTAAAAATGAACTGGAGTTTGGCAAACTTTGTACATAGACTTCTGCTTTACCACTTTCTAGCTGGCTATCTGATCTTTACTGAGTAGTTTAACCTTTTTGAATTTCTGATTTCTCTATAAATATCTTAAGGGTCAAATGAGGCCATGATGAGTAATAACAGCTGCCATTTACTGAACAGCTACTGTACGCTGGGCAGTCACTCCTTGGTCTTCAGACTCTCCTGAAATTATTCTCATTTTTAAAATGAGCAAATAGATACGAAGGGGTTAGGGGACTTGACTAAGGTCATGTAGCAACTAAGAGGCAGAATTCACACGGTCAAGTCAGTGTAACTTAGAGGTTAAGGATATAGATTCTCCATAAGGCTGCCTGCTTTCCTCATGGTAGCCATGAGGGTATTTGTGAACCTAAGGTGTCCAATTCATGGTAAGTTCTTAGAAAACATCAGGTGATGGGTGCAAGTATTAACCCAGGGACCCCCACTCATATATGTTCTTTCTGTAATCTTCTTGTTTCATATAAGGCCAATGCAAGACTCATTTATGCTTGACATTTAGTAATTTTTTTCTTAAAGCTCTACTCCTTTTATTCCTTCTCCTACATAACATTTGTGCTCTTAACTAGAGATGAATTCAAAAACTTTATATATGTGAAGGCAACTGACAATTATATTAAAAATGATGCCAAATTTTTTAATGCCAGTTAAAAAATATCAGCCAAGAGACAATGGAGAGTCAACAATCAAGGTCTCTTCAAAACATTCTAGAGCAAATTTCTTGAGTTGGGTTTATGATGATACAGTAAGGAATTTCATTCATTCATTCATTCATTCATTCATTCATTCTATATACCAGCCAAAACATATTTTTAATGTCCCTATAATGTGTCTGACACTGTGAAAAATGACATATTGCATTTTTGTTTTTAGAATGTTCTTCCAAGATTTGTGACCAAAGCCAGTTAACTTTTTGTGTACAGAGTTACCTGAGGTGACCTTCTTCTGCCAATCCTGCCCTGAGATTTTTTTCTGAGACAGTGACTCAGCTCATGATCCACTGTAGTTAGTTGGAATCAGATAACTCCTCCCCTTTCTCAGATCACTATGCCTCTCTCAGCGGCTGCATACACAGCACTCACTTGCTTGGGTCCCCAGGAACCCGTAGGGCGGCTCCTGTAGGGTGCCTCCTAGGCAATTCTCGCACCCCCTCTTAACCTGAGTCCTTTCTTTTCTCCCAGCCACTTCAGATCAGCCTGGGTTCTCCCTGGGATTTCACCATTCATGGCCCCATTTTCTAGCAGAGATGCTAGAAACCAGAGTCAGAATATAGGAGAATAGAGGCGGGGTACCAGATCTGTCACAGGGCCTTGGAAAAATCATCAGGGCCAAAGCGAGCCTATAAATTTCCACTCAGAGCTTCAACCGTGTGACAGACAGGTATTGTTGCCAGGCAAACGGATTACAAACTGTTGAAGTGATAGGGAAATGTGCTTGATTATGAACAGATGGTTTTAGAAAGTCCATTTTTGATGCAGTTCCCCAGAATGTGGAATGTCTCATCCCTTAGAAATGAGAGTGAAGATGATAAATAGAATCGGGGGAAAAGGCATGTTATTATTGATCATCAGTGCGTCCTAGGCTCTCTGCTGGGCACTTATGCCCACTAACTTATTTAACATGCACGCTTACCCTGCAAGGTATCACTGTTGTTTTTGTTGCTGTCGTAGCTACTGTGCAAGGTGATTATGGCTGTTGTTGTTACTCTTATTATTTCCCTCACTGCCAGCAAGGAAACAGGCTCAGGGAGTGAGGTTAGTTGTCCAAGTTCTTCTAGCTCGGATGAGGTGGAAATCTGAGAGTTGCCTGCAGACGCGAATTCCACCAAGGATGTAGGACCACCTGCTGTCCTGTGGGGCGCCAGGTGTCCCAGGCCTGAGGAGTCCCGGCCACAGAGCAGTGCAGTAAAGCGAGGAGCCAGAAGGAAAAGCCAACCTGAGGTAGAATGTTCCCTTTCCGCTTTTGCTCCCTTCCAGCTGAACCCTAACCCCTGCCTCCCCAAAGCCTGTCAGAGAAACAAGTCAGGCAGAGAAGCTGGGGCAGGTCTTGATGTCCGACAGTCCAAGGGTTTGAGGATCTGAGTTTAAATCCCAGCACCACCGTGTCTTGGCTGAGTGAACTTGAGCAACTTGCATTCACCACCTAAGCTTTGGCTTCTGCAGGTGTAAAGTAGGAGTAACAAGGTGAGCAGCTTTATTTCTAAAGTAAACAACTTTTATTGAGTGATAGCGTGGGCTCGACACCATGTAGGGGCCCGGGAGGTAGAGCAGGGAGCAAAACAGAACCCCGCCACAAGAAAATTATATTATCGTTACACTGGAGAGAGGAAAAAACAAGAAACAGGGAGGTAGTGAAAAGTAAGTGGGAAAATGAACATAAAGTACTTAGAATAGTGCTTGGCAGGTGGTAAGCACTCAATAAATGTTCACTATTTATTCATTATCCATCTGCGTAGCAATTTGAAAATACACCAATGCATTCAGGTTCCCAAATAGGGTTTCTTTCTGCAGCTGCTTCTTCCCCTTCTAAGCCCACTGATTTTTTTTTAGAAGTTGACAGCTCCCACGGCACCCAGGCTTCATGCTGTGGTCTCAGGTATGGAGACCGTTAGGGTCTCAGGCTGCCCATCAGGGGCTCGCTTGGCAGTCTATGGCAGGTGAGTTTGAGGGTAGGGACCCAACTTTCATCCTGAGAGCCTGCATATTATAAGTGATCAATTAACATTCATTAAAAAAATTGTTTTATTGTTGTTCGAATGCAGTTGTCTGCATTTACCCCCCACTACTCCTCCCTCACCCCAGGTACCCCCACCTCTTTCCCCTGATTCCACTCCCTTTGGTTTTGTCCATGTGTCCTTTGTAGTTGTTCCTGAAAACCCTTCTCCATTTTCTCCCCATTATCCCCTCTCACCTCCCCTTTGGTTACTGTCAGATTGTTCTTAATTTCAATGTTTCTGGTTGTATTTTGCTTGCTTGTTTGTTTTGTCGATTAGGTTGCACTTAAAGGTGAGATCATGTAGTGTTTGTCTTTCACTGCCTGGCTTTTTTCCCTTAGCATAATGCTCTCCAGTTCTTTCCATGCTCTCACAAAGGGTAGAAGTTCCTTCATTCTTTCTGCTGCATAAAATTTTATTGTATAAATGTACCATAGTTGTTTGATCCACTTATTTACTGATGGGCACTTAGGTTGCTTCTAGCACTTGGCTAGTGTAAATTGTGCTGCTATGAACATTGGGGTGCATAGGTTGTTATGGATTGGTGTTTCAGGGTTATTTGGATATAATTCCAGCAGTGGAATTTTTTGAAGGAGTGAAAGTAGTTTGTATGTGAATCCATGAGTTGCCTCTGAGTGGTTTTATATTTACTGTGTTTTTATTAAGAAAAGTGTTGGATTTTGGTGTGGTGATTGGTAGGAGGCCAGAGAAAAGAAGACAAAAAAATCCATTTGTCTGACTTTCTTTTTTTTGGAACGAGGACGGCATCCATCTTCAGTGGCCCCGTCATTATTCTCGCCAGGACAGCAGGCTTGTTCCTGCAGCCTGCCAGTGACAACAGCTCAGTGTTGTCAAACGAGGAACAACTTAATGGGAAGAAGAGAGGCTTGTGATGTCTCCACCAGGGCCTCAGCCCTGGGGCCTTCGGGTGGGGAGCAGCAGGCCCCCTTCCATCCCACCCCAATCTGACAGGCAGCCGTGAAACATCTCGGGCCTGCATCTGGCACGAACCACCAATTCTCTGGAAAAAGAGTGTGCTTAAGAATTTCAGGGTAAATAGGCCACTCTACAGAGCACCAGGCCCGGGTACAATTCCCCTTTTATTATAAATGTAACACTCAGCATAACCTTTCTAATTCCCACTACAGGAGGCCCCCCTCTGCCCCTGGAGATTGGCAATGATTGTCACTACCTTAGCCTGGGCCAATTGCAAAGTCTTTCCTGGATGAGCAAGGCAAACACTCAACCCAAGTCAAACAGACAATTCATGTGGATGGTGTGCGTTCTGCTGAACTGATTCATTTTTAATAATTGTTTTAATAACAAGCTAGTGATTGCCTATAATTTTAAAAACAATCATCAAGCACAATCTATATGTGTCTGATGGTTGGTTCCCTGCACAGAAATGCATCTCTCTCTCTCTCTCTCTATCTATGTAGCACTCACACCTGTGTCTCTTATAGGAATATTTGCATAAAGCAGGGCTGCAAGCCACACGTGCCCCTTTTGAATAAATTATGTTTTAAAAATTTACTCTCTTAACCTAGTTGTAATATTATGGTTTCTGTTGTAAATTTGGACTCCTAAAAAAGAGCAAAGAGAAAGAGAGTTGAATGTACTTTACATTAAATCTAACCTTTTTGTTAAAAATATCATCGTGCTCTAGAGTAAATGTATTAAATCTTCCCAAAATTATCCTCTAAAATAATTTTCATTCAGTTTGCACTAACTTGCTTATTGAATTGGAATTCAGTCCCCATTTGAGGTAATTAATTTGAAGAGTGACCACACACCCGCCCACCCTCTTTCTAGAACACCCACACGCATCTGCTCGCACGACTGGGTTTCCTTTCTTTTTCCTTTTTTTGGGTTTCTTTCTTTTTCTTTTTTTCCTCATTGAGATATCTTCCACTCTTGCCTGTTCAATAAATGCTCTGTCTCTTTGCAGGACAGCGACAACCTCTGGTGGGATGCGTTTGCCACTGAGTTTTTTGAAGATGACGCCACATTAACCCTTTCATTTTGTTTGGAAGATGGACCAAAGCGATACAGTAAGAAAGAAGTTTGTTTTTCTAATAGTTTCTCTTTCTGCACCTCTAAGAAAATGGCAGGCGTCTTCCGAAAACAGCACAGTACCGACGGCCAGACAGTAATCGCCCCCCTCCTGAGCACAGTCTTGCTGATCAAGGCCTTGTCACGGGGCCGCAGCCAAGTCAGCTGGGAGAGCTTGCCTTCACGGCATAGAGGGTTTGGGCACTTGTCTGTTTAGCAAGTGACGCAAATACAAACCTGGTCACTCAGTGATAAGTGGGAGCTGAATTGTGGAGACTTTTCATCCATCTCTCCCCTGTGATCCCCCCCCCCCATTTATCCCTGACAGCTCACACTTACACCCAATGTTCTGCTTCTGAAGCTTCCTTAAAAATTTCCTCTGTCACTGTAGCAGCCACATCCTCCCAATTCCCTCTTATCAATGAGCTCAGGTATTTATTTGACAAGCACAATCTTTTCTGGGGGCGGGGGAGGCCACAGCTGCTTTGAACACACCGTTTTGGATTGGTGTTGACAGAATTATAGTTCCCGGTCTTTCCGGCGAGTGATAACTCCATACAGATTCTCAAATTGCAGCCTGTGGCACCTTGGGCAACAGCTGATCTGTCCTGATTAGGTTCAGCCAACTTGTCAGAGATCAGATTTGCTAGTTCTGCTGTAAGACTGAGAGGCACAGATACATCAGCACAAAGGCAATTAGTGTCCAGTTAGATCAGAGGGAGATGTGTTTCCAGAGATCAGGGCTGCACATATGAAAGGATCTGTCAGAGGGTAAAACATCCCACAAACATGCAGATGATGATGGAACCAGCCGCCGCATGTTGGAATGAGGCAACCCAGAGCGTGGGGCAGTTGATGGCTAATAGGCTCTCGATAAACACGATGTGAACATCTGATTGTTGCTGAATGTATTCCAAAGCCATAGGGAACAACAGGTTGTTGCTGCTGCTGTTGTTGTTTAATTTGGAGGACTTCAGACAACTTGGTAGTATTTGGATCTATTGCATAATGAGTTGGTTAAGTATGCCAATATATGCACCATGATTTGCAAATATATGATGGTGGCAAACTGAAGAGAGCCTGGCAACTTGGACTTGCTGCCCTACTGAAACTCATTGCCAGGAGCATCTCTTTAGATTTGTGTCCTTTGGGCTATGAAAGTCATGGGGCATTTCTAATGAATATTTTGGGTGAGAGAGGCAGCCAGCATGCAGACAACAGCCAGCATGTTTCAGAGTGTCTTTATTTGACATAAGACTCCAGTTGCAAGCACAGGTAAGACCACCCCTTGGGGGTCCTGATGCGTTAACTTGCTGTCCAGGGTGTGGGTTCCTCCAAGCAGCTTTGTGCACGAGACAGGGAGGGAGCCGGGCTTTAGAAGCTGCTGTTTCTGAAGACCCTGGGCAATAAATAAACTCGGCAATCCAGCGATTACTCTCTCCTCCAAAGCTGCCTGATCAATGGTGAATAATTTTGAATGAAGCAGTCATCCATCCTGTGAGCCTTCTTATTTTTTTCTGAGGATTAAGCTCAGATAACTTCAAGTTATCACTGTTTTTTATTCCTTGTTCCTACTCTTTTTTTGGGGGGTGGGGTGGGACACAGGATTCATCAGGGTCTGTTCAGAGAACTAGAATTACAGTTTTTAAAGCCTGTACTAATAAAACAGATTCCCAATCTCCCCTCTGTCCACCCCCCACCCCAACATCATTTGGGGGTGAGGCATGATCAGTGCCTTTCTCTGAGCCATTATTGCCCAGGTTTCTTTGTTTCCATGAGCCAAAATATTTCCAGAGCAGGGAAGAGAAACAAAGATGATTGGCAGCTTGGAGCCCAGCCGCGTCAGCTGCCTTGCTGACAGCCTGGTGGTGCGCGCACACTGCTGATGTGCGGGCGAGTGACAGCTGATTGACGGCCAGGCCTGGAAGACAGGGAAGATGAAGCATGCTTAGAACGCCTGACACACGCTGTTCATGCAGTGCTCCCGGCACTGGCGCCACCACCTTAACCCATTCGTGGTCCCCACGGGCTGGGAGAACACCTGCGGGCCCTCGGCTGCAGGCTATGGCTCTTCCCTGAGATGCCTCTGCCCAGGGAGCCCAGAGCTTTGTATTTCTGAGAGAAAATATAAGACTTGGCTACTACATTTGTATGTGTTGTAAAAAAATCCCCGAATTACTTTCATTCCTGGTACTAGGAAATATTCCAGATGAGGTTTCCTTAGACCTTTACTAGAGAAAATTGTTTCTTCTCCCTCCCCATCTCTATGGTCTTGGAGGGTCCCTCTGGCTCTAAGATATCTCTTAGCTACGTGGGTCCTGTAATACGTGTTTGTTTACACATTTGTTCGCTGTCAGCCTCTGTTAGAATGTTATCTCCATATGGACAGGACTTCTATGTTATTTATTGCTGGATTCTCAGGTGAATACAGGAACTCGCACATAGTAGGTGCTCGATAAGTATTTGCTGAATGAATAATAGCTTGACTGAATTGACATTTGGGGGAAAGTTTGTATCACCAAAAGAACATTGGCAAAACCATGTCTTTGCCAAAACCTTTGGAGTTTTTTAACTGGAGGAATCGAATGTACAGCACTGTGCCGGCATTTCCAAATAAGCTGTAGGATATGGTCTGATCTGCTTGAAGTGGGCAGGGGAGCAGTGTAATAATGCAGGAAATAATTATGCTTTGGGAGACACACTGCTCTTTCAGAAAGCGCCTTTGTGTTGGTTGTGTTGCATCACTGACCGCACAGTCTCCACTCTCCTGATGGGGGTGAGATGCCCTCCCCAGGTAGGACGTGATTGGAGACTTAGAGACTGCTGGGTGTGGCCGATATGGAGTGGTGCAGGTGGGACGGGGTCAGTGGACTCTGTCAGAAATCAGGCTCTCTGTCCCTGTGCAGCTGGAGACCTTGGCAGTTCCAGGGACTTAGTTTTCTCCTTGGGGGACGAGGGGTAAGTGGCTTCCTCTCTTTGTCAGCAGATTGCTGATTAAAGAACATTAGAGCTGAGAAGGGTCTTTTCTGAAAATAGAAGCTTGGTCCAGAGAGTCCCCATGGGTGAGTCAGTGGCCCTCAGTAGACTGACTACAAAGTCAAAGTCAGGGCACCCTCCCTCCCTTGCCCCCATTGGACTCCTACAACCTCCCATAGCTAACGGGAAAGACACGGATTCTTCAAGTCACACATTTCCAGGAACATACGTCACTAATTATTACCATGTCTGACGTGACAGAGAAGGCCAAGTGAGCAGAGGAGTGGGCGTCAAAGGCCTCTGCACACGGGCGTGGCACACTCACTTTCCAGCATCATTTGTGATTTTCCTTCTCCGTCTTGTACAGAAACAACTGTTCTTAGGTCGATTGCTTGCTGTTAACTTCAAGCAAATTATTTCCTCTACTGCTTTTTGGGCATGTAGCTAAGCTCTCTTCTCTTTCCTTATGACCACTACCAATACCTTCAGGTAAAGGTCGTGGTAAACCCCTCAGGACACCAAGGCTGTGTCCAGGTCCACGTTGGCCCCGTTCTTCATCCACAGGAAATGTTGGTTCCTAGTTCATTCAGGGAATAATTCTTTCAGGGAAAAATAGATTCAGGGAGTCTTGCAGTATTGGAGAAGCTGGGAGGCCGCACAGTGTAGGAGACAAAGCGTGAGGGTTTAATCCAGTGCAAATGTTCTTGGTTTTTAATCTGTGCTAGGCTTGGTAAACAGAGCCTTCACTTCCTCATCTGTAAAATGGGTACAATGCTATCATCACTGGCTTTTGGTAAAAATTAAATGAGATGACCCATTAAAAACCTTGGAACTTTGGAAGCATGGGGTAGTCAGCATCGACTATTGTTGTTGATAACAGTGCCCAGTCTCAGCATCACTGTGTAGCTTTTATGCGTCCCTGGATAGACTTGGCCAGCTGGCAGGTGCTTGTCAAGTGTGCTCAGCGTGTAGAGCTTCCTACAGAGCCCCACTGGTCAGCTGGGAGCCTACTGGACTCTGCTGGGCAGCTTCTGCTGAAATGTACCCTGAAGAGGCAACCTCCTCCCGGAAACCAGATGTGCGTGGGGTGGGGTCAGTGATGAGCAGGAGGAGGGAAAGAGCGGGGAAAGAGGGTGAGTATGTGTGGGGTTCTCTACTCTGGTGGGGACTCCAGCACTTGGTTAAACATGTCTAGGTAGTCATCGCTTTGGAAATTAGGATGAGAAATGATATTACAACTAAAATGCCATTCTGTTGGGGGGCACTGCCTACTGGCCTACGTTTGAGGAAAGCTCTGTTGTTCAGGGAGGGGTTCTGGATCTGACACCTTGGTTCAAATCCAGCCTCGTCTTGCTACTGTGTGATTTGGCATAAGTCACTTTGTAAGCATTAATGGTCTCCATGGAAAAGTGAGGGTTTGGTGAGGAAAAGGGAGAGGTCGATACATGCGAAGTTCTTAGTAGAGTTTCTGGCACCAGGAAACTGGTCCATAAATAGCTATTAATCGATTGCATTCCAATGAGGACACTGCGGCCTCCAGATCGAGACTCGGCAATTCAGATACGATTGTCATTCATCTTTTATCTATGATTTGGAACTTCAGGTTTGACGGACACCAGTGGTTTCCTATCACACTCTTGTTATTTCACCTTCATTTCTTTATTCTGTCTGGAAGAAAGATTTCTGGCACGAGCCCAGATTTTTAGTCACACTAGTGAAAGACTATGTACCCTCTGTCCCTCTGTGGCTGCTGGGGGAACGTCTCACTCTCCAGGAGAAGAAAGTTATTTGAGGATAGGTCACTGCTTTTCCTAGCATTATTTTCCCCCTGTTTTTCTTGACCATGAAGTTTCATTAGACAGTTTGAAGAATATTGGTCCTTCAAATATTGGTCCTATGGAGTCATTTCCACACTCATTTCTCTTTTGCATTTTTAAAGATAATTTGTTAAATTATTTTATTTATTTATTTTTAGAGAGGGGAAAGAGAGGGAGAGAGAAATATCAGTGGTTGCCCCTCAATC